GATACGCTTTCTGTGTTACACAAAACCATACACGAATAGTATCTTGGAACACAATATGCGCAACAATATGTGTAATCGCAAAGATGATACATACTCTTCTCTCATTGTTACAATCGTTATTCACAATTATTATAAACAACGAACATTTACAAATGCATTATGCATCGGCGTCAAATATTTAAGGCCTATATGGATCTTACACTGTAATTAGAGAAAATTTGGCTTCTTCTTACGTAATATTTTTCCACTTTGACTTTTTAAAAGGGATGCGGAAATGAGAGAAGGATGGAATGATTCCGATGAGGAATAAAATGCGTGGACAGAATGCCCTACGATATTTTCTAAAATTTTCCCATTTCCGCATTATATATATATCTCGTCAATTTTTTTAAATCTGACGAGTTTTTAACTCTAACGCAGGGATCCTAGATTTAATTCTAGATATATCCCCAATAAATTGTAAAATTTTTTCATCTTGCGAGATATTCTCTCGAGCATAAAAATGCATTAATATTTGATTATTTTCTATCCTAAAAAAGATATTTCTGAAAGTTCGAAGAAATTTTTTTATCTATTTGTTCGAATAAAAATGTACAAAAAATTAATAGAGAAATCAGAATATGTGATAATTATGATTTTATAATGCGTACTTAATCATTAGATCAAAGAGTATCAGAATCAGTGAGCTTTTTTTTGAGAGTTATCGCTAGAACATTCTTGAATAATGTATTTCTTCGGTGTTCAGCAGTGTAATCTAAAAAAAAGTTAAGCGTAATTATCTAAACGGTAGTTTCTTCGTCTCGTTACAAACTTGCGATGAATCTTATGAAATGAATTTATGTGCATCAATAATAAGTGGGTCTTACGTAACATACAATAATGTTTTTTATTATCTATAATATTTGTTCTCTTCCTTCTGTGAAAAAAACCTACATATGAATGTGTATATGTATGTATATGATGATGTAGCTCTATTCTGTTATACAGGGTGTCCCAAAAGTCCCGGACCAGTTGAATATTTCATAAACTATGCACTTTAGAAAGAAATGTTTTAGACAAAAGTTATATGGCTTGAAGGAGGCCATCAAATAGTGGTAATGATTTGATCTTGGAGAGTCATTTGAAGGTGACGTAAAGGTCACCTTCAATTTCCTAAGTGGAACCTCCTATTTTTTATTACATATTCGTGTAGCTTATCTCGAGAGCTTTCTAAAACACTATAATAAAGTATTTCTTCATTGAGTGCTTTTCGAGTTATGAGGCTTGAAATCATTTCTTAATTTTGCATAAACCATAAAATATCTAGTAAAATATTCATTTTTCGATTATCTTACCTTAATACTTTTATGTACAAAATAATAAGAGGAATCAATTGGTGTAAAGAAAACGTATAGTTGTTTTAAAAAAAAATATGTAATTGTTAATTGCAAATTACATATTTTTTTCTTAAAAACAACTATATTTTTTCTTTACACCAATTGATTCCTCTCATTATTTTGTACATAAAAGTATTGAAGTAAGATAATCGAAAAATGAATATTTTACAAGATATTTTACGGTTGATGTAAAATTAAGAAATGATTTCAAGCCTCATAATTCAGAAAGCACTTAATAAAAACTAACTTAATTATAGTGTTTTGGAAAGCTCTCAACGTGAACTACCAGAATATTTAATAAAAAATAGGAAGTTCCATTTAAGAAATTGACGGTGATCTTCACGTGACTTTCAAATGACTCTCCCATGTCAAATCATTACCACTATCTGATGCTCCCCTTCAAGCCATACAACTTTTGTCTGAAACATTTCTTTCTAAAAATGCATAGTTTATGAAGTATTCGACCAGTCCGAGACTTTTGGGACATCCTGTATACTTAAAATGAATTAGATTTTGATTAGCGTTTCTTTTGAAATATGCAACTATATACTTGAGTTGCAATATTGTTATGCTCACATCGCAATTGCAGATTTTCGTGATAAATTCAAAATAAAACAAAAATAAAACTTATGGTACATAGTATATATATATATATATATATATATATATATATATATATATATATCATTAAATAGAAGGAATAAAGACATGCAATGTCACGTGAATTGTTGATAGTTTATATTCTTTATATGTATGATTTATATTTTTTTAAATTTGTTTTCAATTATTATATTTTTGGAAAAAAAACTTTTTGGAATCTTTTATCGCAAATGTATTATCAAAGTGATCTAGTAATATAAAACAAAAATATAAAATTCTTTTATTTCACGTGATTTAGCAAGTTATTAATCCAAATTCTTTCTTATAAAAGGTTTTAAACATAATATCTTTATAGAAAATGAAAATGTAAATCGCACAGGAAATAAATATCTATCTATCTTAATTTTTTTATGTTCATTCTTTGCAATGATATATGAGATTTTCGGAAATTATGCTGATTAACTCTTTATAAATTTCTTTAAAGAAAAAATAAAGTTGAACATAATTTGACTTCTGAAAAACTCATATTATGTATCGTACATATTGCAAGTTTTCATTTTTATTGCACTCATTTATATGAATTAACCTCTTAAAGTATGTTTTGTATTAAAAAGTACAATACACGTAATTTTTCACATATTTTTATAAGATGAAATAGCTATATTGGCATAATTTCCATGAAATTGTCCATGATATTCCAAGATAGATTTGCACTCTTGCCTAGCAAGAGAAAATTACAACTGTAGCACTTTTGTTTGGCTTCGTGTTTCAATCGCTACAGGCCGCTTACGATAAAATTTATGTTTCTTACTAATTAAAACGCTAAAATTAATATTAATAAGATTAAAAACAAAGATCTGCGTTATTCTATTGACAGACATATACAAGCCTCTTCTCAATCACATTATTTACAAACTTTGCAATGAAACGTTATATAAGTTCTTCTGCATATAATTATTTAATATTTTAATATAACAATATAACTTTCGTAAAAAGAAATACAAGAAAAGAATAGATATAAAATTATGTTTCGATAATCCTATGTAAGCATGAGAATCAAACATCTTGCATTGCTATTATCCACATACAGCACCTATATCTCTATATAAAAAAAATTCATACAATATTTAAACACTAAATTAGAAACGACTGTTTTTTGCAAAATATATATATATATAATTACGTAATGTTTTTGCAATTAAAGATTACAAAAAATTTACAATTTTTTTCTTTTTAGATTTCAACGCTTTCTCTCCTCCTTTCTTTCCCTTTGTCAAGGAAAAATAATTTAAAAAATTTTTTAGGCATCCATACAATTTCACAAAATAATCTAATCTGGGAAAAGATTTCTGCTAAAGAGAATCTTATCGATTCTTTGTAGCAAAGGTTTTTTCCCACTTAATGAAAAAATTAAAAACCTCTGATTTGCTCGAATATCAAATATGCGCCGAATGCCACAAAATATACAATTAAGCACATTTAAAAATATTTCTCTTGACATCAGCGATAGTATCGTCTCATGCGCGTGTCGCGTTACTACGATCTCAACGACCGAATTTTGTCTAGCGCGCATAAGACAGAATCATAAGAGAGAGTAATTTTTTTTATAAAATAAACTTCTTAAGCCTATATAAAACACATTAGATTCTAACTGCGAATGTTACGGTACGTAACTGACTTTCAGCTACGGTTTACCGAGATCATCGAAAGCAAAATAATGTTTATATTTCGTAATGTTAACATCAAAGAAATCAATAATTATAAAATTTTGTAATAAAAGATTTAAATTGAACCTTGTGAGAGTTTTGTTTTATTTATAGATAATACTTATATTATTTTCTTATATTAATTCTTATATTTCTGTATATTATAAATTATATCATAGACTAATTAATGTAATTATTGTATATAAATACTGTTTGCGTTAGTAAAACATTCAGACATTTCAATTGAGTAAAATATAAATATATAGAAATGAAATAGAATACATAAAAGTAACTTAAAAATAAATTTAAAAACTATTATTTATCGAGTTTATTTTATAATTTTTTTTCCATAATCATCATTTTCTAAATTAAATAAAAAATTATTTTATTTATTATTGGTTTAATTTTTTAGTGTTTCCAGCCATCAATTCTATGTTGAATCGATTGATGATTATAATACTGAGTCCATGTATAAAAATGTAGAAAAACGAGTTGTGTACTGTATATTGAGAACATTTTTGCGTTTTTTTCTTCGTAGTTGATTTTAACGCTTTTGATAATCTCGATAAATTATAACTATATTGAAAAGAACCCAGGTAGCAAGATGACATCTAAAGATGTCTTAATGACGTACTATGACGTTATTAAACCATTATTAAGATGTCATTTGACGTCATTTTGTTACCTGAGAAGCAACGCTGATCACAACATCTTAACGTTTTAAGAACAATACGTGTAATGATTCTAATTGTATATGTATGTACGTGTGTGTGTTTATATGTGTATTCTCTCTCAACAAACAGAAAATTTTCTGATCATTTCTAAGCACGTATTTCTTCAAGCGTTTACAAATCGTTAATTCTTGTCAAAAAAATTTAATTGTTGAACAAATTTTTTTTCTTGTAAAACGGTATAAAAATAATCGCCTTTTTGGGTTGCTTTATGATTGTAAAGAAATGTCGATCCGCGTTACGAATAATGTTATTTAAAAAAAAAATCATTTAGATTTCTCACGAAATGTATATTAACTATAATAATATTATATAGTGTTTATTATTTTTAAAATGTGTATGATATATTTCGCGCAATCTAATCAACTTACATACAAGCCTTGACGCGTCTGTGTGAGGGAAATCAATATATAAATCGTCTTTAATTTCAAGAGATTTAAATATTTAAAAGGAGACACACAAATAAAATAGACAAGATTTAAAAACTGTACTCATGTCCCGAATATTTACTTAATTTACTTAATTTTTAAGTACAATATTACCAAAAAAATTAATTTTAAATCAAACAAAAAATTTGTAACCGAAAAGGAGACGTCGGTTTTTTAATTATTTTTTGACAATTCCCGATAATGTTTGTAAATTGTGACAACGGTCACATTAAATCAGTCACATTAAAAAGAAATTAACCGTAAAATTTAAGCGACTATTTTCACATATATAAGTGAACGTAAAGAATGAGATGTGATATGTAAAGAAAAACGATAAATAGTGATATGTAAAGGAAAACGCACAGTCCAATGCCCGAAGCAAGTTCAGTATATATATCCCCTCTCATATTACGCAACGGCACGTAAAAGCTGCGACAGTCCCATATCACGGGGCTAGAAATCAAGCTCAACCGAACTTGAATCAGTTTGAAAAAATATGAGGCGTTACCACACTTCGCACTTATGAACCGGGTTCATCTTCGAGTTCTTAGGGCAGTTGAATTCCAACGCGAATTCTGGCAGGTTCGAGAGTGGTCCTATCACTCTGTACCTCGGTGGACTGTGAGAATCCTTTTCGATCTGAAGAGTCATTGCTTCAGACGTTATAGCGGAGCACCAAACCTGCGGACACGTGGCATACATAATTATTATGCAATTCTCATTTTTATAAGAGAATGATATCAAAATCATTATTCCGTCAATATACAGGATGTCCCATTTTAGAGGACCCACTCAAATATCTCAGAAACACTGCGTTAAATCGAAAAATGTTTCAAACAAAAATTGTGTGGCCTCAAGGGGGCCATAAGATGGTGACAATGATTTGACCTTGGAAAATCATTTGAAGGTCATGTGAAGGTCACCTTTAAAATCTTAAATAGAACCTCCCATTTTTTATCTAGTATTCTTGTAGCTGACATCAAGAGCTTTCCAAAACACTATAATAAAGTATTTCTTCATTGAGTACTTTTCGAGTTGAGGCTTGAAATCATTTCTTAATTTTGCATAAACCATAAAATATCTAGTAAAATATTCATTTTTCGATTATCTTACCTTAATACTTTTTTACGTACAAAATAATGAGAGAGGAATCAATTGGTGTAAAGAAAAAACATAGTTGTTTCGAAGAAGAAATATGTAATTCGCAATTAACAATTATATATTTTTTCTGGTAGGATATTTTATGGTTTATGTAAAATTAAGAAATGATTTCAAGCCTTATAACTCGAAAAGTACTTAATGGAATAACATTTAATTATAGTGTTTTGGAAAGCTCTCGATGTCAGCTACAAGAATATTAAATAAAAAATGGGGGTTTCTATTGAAGATTTTGTTGACCTTCACATGACCTTCAAATGATTTTCTAAGGTCAAATCATTATCACCATCTAATGGCTCCCTTAAGGCCACACAACTTTTGTTTGAAACATTTTTCGATTTAACGCAGTGTTTTTGAGATATTTGAGTGGGTCCTTTAAAATGGGACACCTTGTATATTTATATATTTAACACCGTGCAATAATTCAATGACAACCTGTGCAAAATTTAGGAAGAATAGTTGACGATGTGTCAGATTGAGACCGGGTAGCGGCAGTTGATCCTTGTAGCTTTTAGGCATCGAACGATAAGCGTGATATGCTGCCTTAAGGCCCCCATTATCAGCGATATTTTCTCCTGTGCATTACAATCGGTTCAACTATATTTCTGTCATTGTTAAGTAATTATTAATAATTAATATTATTACCCAAGGTCTGTCGGCCATTTACATTTCGACCTTGTACTTGATATTGATCATACTGTTCCACAAAACATTCCGTTCTGTTTTTAAAACGTTCTATCGTAGCGTCGTTCCACCATTGATGTAAATTTCCATGTAAATCATATTCTCGACCTATTCAATATTATCCAAAAAATATATAAGTAATAAAATTATCTAAGTAAATGAATATAATTTACATAATATACATAAGATAATATATACATAAATAATATACATAAATAATATACATAAATATATATATATATATATATATATATATATTAATATAAATATACATAATATACATAAAATAAGATAAATCTGACAATAGTGATTATATACGTATAAATATTTTGCAAAGTAAAATAATATTACTGAGAGACATGATTTATTTTAAGCGTGAAAAAATCTTGTTACGTAAAAAGATCCTTCAATTTAGCTATAAAGTTAATCGTTAATTTGGAATAAAATTTTTTTACAATATAATTAGCTTATACATATATTTATTATAAGAAATATATAAAAAACATATTTTGTTGTTTATATATATATATATATATATATATATATATATATACATAGGGTGTCCCAAAAATCCCGGACCGGTCGAATATTTCATAAACTATGCACTTTAGAAAGAAATGTTTCAGACAAAAGTTGTATGGCTTGAAGGGGGCCATCAGATAATGGCATGATTTGACATGAGAGAGTCATTTGAAAGTCACGTGAAGATCACCGTCAATTTCTTAAATGGAACTCCCTATTTTTTATTAAATATTCTGGTAGCTCACGTCAAGAACTTTCCAAAACTATAATTAAGTTAGTTTTCATTAAGTACTTTCCGAATTATGAGGCTTGAAATCATTTCTTAATATTTTACATAAACCGTAAAATATCTTGTAAAATATTCATTTTTCGATTATCTTACCTTAATACTTTTATGTACAAAATAATGAGAGGAATCAATTGGTGTAAAGAAAAAACATAGTTGTTTTTAAGAAAAAAATATGTAATTTGCAATTAACAATTACATATTTTTTTTTAAAACAACTATGTGTTTTCTTTACACGAATTGATTCCTCTCATTATTTTGTACATAAAAGTATTAAGGTAAGATAATCGAAAAATGAATATTTTACTAGATATTTTATGGTTTATGCAAAATTAAGAAATGATTTCAAGCCTTATAACTCAAAAAGTACTCAATGAAGAAATACTTTATTAGAATGTTTTGGAAAGCTCTCGAGATAAGTTACACGAATATGTAATAAAAAGTAGGAGGTTTCATTTAAGAAATTGAAGGTGACCTTTACGTCAACTTCAAATGACTCTCCAAAGTCAAATCATTGCCACTATCTGATGGCCCTCTTCAAGCCATACAATTTTTGTCTGAAACATTTCTTTCTTTCTTTCTTTGCATAGTTTATAAAATATTCGACCGGTCCGGGTTTTGGGACACCCTGTATATATATATAAACAACAAAATATATTTTTTATATAATATATTTCTTATAATAAATAAAGTTAGTCGTTGATTTGGAATAAAATTTTTTACAATATAATTAGCTTACATATACAATATTTATTATAAGAAATATATTATATAAAAAATATATTTTGTTGTTTATATATGTATGTATATATATATATATATATATATATATATATATACATATACATATACATATATATATATATATATATATATATACATATACATATACATATATATATATATATATATATATATATATCTGATACGGGTGGTCTGCGACACGCTGTATATATATAATAAGATTTTTTATTGTAAAAATATTATCTGGCATTTTTAAAAATTATTTTTAATCTCATACCTTGATCATCAAAAGCGTGCGTTAATTCGTGTCCCATAACTACACCTATGCCGCCAAAGTTCAAACTATTCGGGTTTTCCATATCGTAAAACGGACTCTGAAGAATGCCAGCGGGGAAGACAATTTGATTCTTGGTAGGCGTGTAATAAGCGTTCACGGTCGGTGGCGTCATTATCCAAGTGGTCTTATTCACCATCTGATCAAGCTTTTCAAGATTCTTACGTAAATTGTACTTATTTACACGCAAGTTGTTTTGGAAATATTCATTCGGTTTGATTGCCAGATCTCTGTAACGTTCGTCGAGATCACTGGGTTGTAGAATGAAATCCGGGAAACCGATCATGTCAGTAATAGCATTTGCCTTCTCTTCCGCGGCGTTTCTCGTCTCTGCGTCCATCCAATCTAAATACTTTAGATTTTTCGTAAAGGCCTGACGAACTTGATTGATCATTTCTTCCGCCTAAAAGTCAACAATCAGAGCAAAATATTATTTTATTTTATATCTAAATTAGACGACTTATTTTTTTGAAATTGCCTAAATAATAGCTTTAATATTCAAAAATCAGTATTCATCAGTATACATCATTCATGTTCCTGAAAATTTCGAAGGTATAATAAGTCCTGCCTTGAAATAATAAATTATTTTTTATTTATACAGCTAAAAAAAATGACTGTAATAAATGGAATTTCTTTTAAGATTGTCCGATGCAAACTAACCATGGGTTTACTCTTGCCGTGGAAAACTTCTCTAACGAACATTGCGCCAATAGCGAAACCCATGGCATTATTAACATCACTAACGCAGTAACGCCATTGTTCCTCGTGACCTTCCGAACCGAGCAAAGCTTTCCGCAAGCCCTTGTAAGCTTCACGGAATGGTTTCGACAAGCACGCCGTTAAGGATCTCACGGTCTGCCAAACCAGATAGTTATTCAGTATTCTGTGGAAAGAAAAATAATAGAGGAAACAATTGATGGTTTCTTTTCGACGGAATCAAAAAGGATTTATAAATGCAAGACGTGATATTTATCAGAGATCGTGCACTTCTTCATCGATTGTTTTAATTAATTTCGTGCATATCGATATAAATTAGAGACAATTATTTCTAAAAAAAATAATCTCTTTCAGATATGCATGTTATTAAATATCTGAACGTAAAATTAAATGTTAAATAAAGTTTATCTAATTATAAAGAATTAAAGAATAAAAAGTTATTTTTAATTTATCTCTTCTAACACTCTATATTTTAAAGTAAGTTCCCCATCTCTGATGCATCTCACACGTAGATATACATACATCTTTCCGTCGGTCGTGCTGTTGTACTCGTGCACGAGTTTCGTTAGCTTCACGAAATATTCCGGTGCAAAATTTACGATCATCGCTTTACTGTTGATCTTCTTATTCACGAGACGTGTAGCATTTTGAAAGTAATCCACCCACGACATCTAAACATATAAGAACTATATCTATTGTATTTTCGTTGATACTTTTTATTCAAAAAAATAACATAGGCCTGCGAGGTTTTTGTTTTTTGAGATGCAATAGTGATTTCTGACGTAATTTTATACGCTGAATTCGAATCTGGCCGCCAAATTTGCGTAGCAAATTCACGTCACGTTTTTAAGTAATTTGTAATTGAATAGCCCAAAAAATAACTCAAAAACCTGATGTGCTACGCAAATTCGGCGGCCAGATTCGGATTCAGCGCACAAAATTACGTCGGAAATCACTATTGCATCTTAAAAAACAATTTTGATCCCCTTTTTTGCAGGCCTATGTAATCGTTCTGATTGGAAAAAAAAATTTTAAATATTTAACACACGTGTCTATTGATAGGATATTATGTACAGGATACGAGCATATAATAGAGGACAAAGGATATCCTGTATTATATACGTGCAGGATATAATATAGGATAAGACATTATCTCATCCAGGATACTATCACATGATATCATACAGGAAGGTTATTACAGGAAGATGACCGAGATAAATGTTATATGCAATAGCCGCAATTATTGGTCGCATCCGCAGATAACTGCCCAGTGAGCAATAAATTACCAAAAAGAGTTCTTAAAGCACTCAGATTCAAGAGTTAAATATCCAACAACTCAATCTAGATGATAACATTATGATATCAATAAGTCCTCTAATGCGTCGATTTTAGAAGAAAAAAAGACATCACATACAGGACATTTAAAAGAATACTTCAATCTGACTTTTAGATTATTATAGATGTTAAGAAAATGTTACCATTAAGACTTTCTTTATAGAATTATTTATTTTAAATTCAGTTTGTTAGAAATTAAACTGATAAACAGTGATGCAAGAAGAGGATGCAGCTCAAACACACATAATTAGAGAGCTAGCGTCCTCTTTCTGGCACATTGCTCGTAAGAGAAAAAAAATATACTTTGGATTTAATGTTAATACTAGTTCTTTATATATTAATGTTAATATTATTATATACTAATGTTAATTTAATATTAATACTAGTTCTTTACATTTCATGGCAAATATTGAATACGAGTTAAGTTAAGAGTGGCTCGCTGCCTAGCGGCAAGCAAAGAAATTAATGTAACAAGAAATTTTATAGACCAGAAAATATTCAACCAGAAAATACTAACCAAATCCTTATAGTAAAATCTATTAAACATTCTAGTTATAAAAAATTGAGTCTTATCATAATAACTAGAAATTCTTGTTTGATTTAATCAAAATGCCTTCAATCATATACGTCTTGTTGGTACAATCAAACGATTTTTCTCAGTGTAGATGTCTTTAAAATTTCTAGTAAGCGAACTCTAAAGACATCTATAAGTAGACATCATAAAGAGCTTTTTTGAAAGATATCTTACAAAAAGATAACTTATTGATGTCATTTTCAAAAAAAATTAATGAAGTTTTCAAAAAGTCCTCTTAAAGACTTCTTCCTCTCAATAATGCTCACTGGATGGAATGCGAATATTCTGGAAAACATTCTCAACCGAGTAGGAGATAATAAACGTACGAAGGGTGCTTTACGTTGCAAATCGTTCAATGACATCAGATTGTAGAGCTTCTCCTCGTCCCTGCGTTCCTCGGGCGGTATAGTGATCTTTGCGAGTTTCGTCTCGAAATCGATTATAGCCTGCATCTGTTTCTTCGTCGAGTTCTCCTCACCACCTAAGAGCACGCCGATCTGAAAACGTGTACGAGTACCTGTACTCGATTCGTCCGATGCGACGCAGCGTATCGTGCGGCGATAAACCATGCACGCAAATACGTGCTGTCCTTGTGTACCTTTGTCATGTAGTCCAAGTAAGCGGCTAAGACCTTGCCATGCTCGGTTATGTTGAGATAATTGTCTGCAGTCGGTAGCGTTAAGCCTCCTTGATCGATCTTAAAGATAAAAATATCAGTATCAATTTAACTTTTTTAGGGGCACATTTTTTGTGTGAGATCAACAACAACGATCATGATGGTTTTATAGGTTTTTGGGGTCACTGATTACGAATCTGGCATCATAATTTCAAAATTCAAGATGGCGGATTCAAGATGGCGGATTATATCTTAGAAATATTGACAAACTTGATATTTTCAGATGAAATCACGTATATAGGGGTTTTCAAGGTGATCACGAATCCGGCTTCGGATTTTTGAAATTCAAGATAATATTGATGAACTCATACATAGATAAAAAAACTGATATTTTCATGTTTTTGTGGTTATTTATTTTGTGATAAAAAATTGAATCAATGTTTTCCCTCTCTGCGTGTTAGCATGGAAAGCCAGAAGAAATTCTATAATTCATGGATTTTTTTCTCAAAAACTACACATCTAATCGAAAAAACATCAAGAATACTTTCTTCTTCAAATTATATATAAAATATGATAAGATTTTTTAATATTGAAAATTATCAGATTTTAGATATGTCATCCGCCATATTGGATCCGCCATCTTGGATTTCCAAAATCTGAGGCCGGCATTGTGATCAGAGACCCCGAAAACCTATATATGTACAATTTGGGGTTGATTTAACAAGACCTGTATTCAAAACTGATTTTTTTCCGAAAAAATAGTGCTTTTTTCATATTGATTATTTATTAATTAATTATTGTCAACCCCCAGTGAAAAGTGATGGAAGATTACAATATGTAGGTAATCAGAAGTCTAAGGAACTTGATTGCATGCATATAACTGTCGTAATACATCCATAATGAGGAAAACACTAAAGATAAATAGATGTATCATATATGATACACCGCCCCTCAAAGGAATAAGCATATCTCGAAAATTATCATTATGCGAAGACAACGAAAGATTTTTCTTCTAATTAATTGCACAGAAGTTGCTCTGCCACTGATTGTGAGTATTATTAAATGACATTTTATTTTATGCGTGTATTTCACACGACAAATTTATAAAAAATTTATAAAAAATTTATAAAAAATTCTTTGTACACAATATATTCTATATAGAGGGTGTTTCTAAAACTATGTTGGAGATTTTAAGGGCATATTCTAAGGATTAAAATAAGAAAAAAAGCTCATATAAACATGAGTCCAAAAATGCTTTTCCTCCGAGTTATAGCCCCCTAATGTTAAGGGAAAAAATCGAAAAATGTATTGTAACTATCGGAGACTTTTTCATAGAACGTTAAAGTTTTGCACAGCGTAATAATTAATAATGAGCTTCATTTTGTGCTTCGTTTTGACAACTTTTTCCCTCAACTTTAGAGGGCTATAACTCGGAGGAAAAGTATTTTTGGACCCATGTTTATATGAACTTTTTCGTATTTTAACCCCTAGAATACGGCCTTAAAATCTCCGACATTGTTTTAGAAACACTCTGTATATTAGCTCGCTAAAAAATAAAACGAAATCTAATGATAAATTTAATAGAGAATTGAATAATATTCTTTAAAGAAAAACATATAGCCGGTATTATACATATGTACATACATAAAGCTGGTATTCTTATGAATAGATAGTCTTAAAGATAAGAACAGATTATGTTCTTATCTTTAAGGCCATCTTAATTACAATCTTTGTAAACCGATGAGAAAGAGTCATATTAGCATCTTAACATATTACTTAAGACGACCTTGAAATAAAAATGCGTTATATGTATTGTGTGAATACTGGCTATAGAATATACTTAATTAGAATATACTTAATATTTTCGGACAGGAGTTTTAACATTAATTAAATTCACTGCCCAATTCTAATTATATATCATTATTACAATAATAATAACAATAATAAAAAATATATCTAATACTATTGTTTTAATTAAATTAAGTTTTATGCACGAGAAGACTGAACTTATTGTCAACAGTAAAATGCACGATAAAGAACATGCCCAGATTTTTTTTCATTGTCAGTCTAATCTCTTTCTCTCCCCCCTCTCTCCCCCCTCTCTCCCCCATCTCTCCTCCCTCTCTCTCTCTCTGTCTCTCTCTCTCTGTTCATCTGCTCACCTGGATTATATGTCTAGTACTGTTTCGATCATCTTCATTTACGGCCCAGGAGAATAGACCGCCCATATTGTAAACATTTTGCAGGACATGCATGCTGTTTTGTAAAGACCACGCGCTTATGTTGAATTTGCCAGAGATGTTCCAGCCACCGATATTTTCCAATAATTCCAACATCGGCTTAGCTCCGAGACTCTCGATAGTTTCATTCGCGTCCATGCAAGATAGGTAATAATGTTTCGCTTTCTTCTCAGCCTTCGACTTCATCTCGCTGAACGGTTTTTCTGCGCAAGTATATGAAAATATACTTAATACATACACATACACGAATCAAAATTATTCGTATTAAGTTATGCGCAATTATAATGATTACCGAGAACATTCTTGACTACTAATTGATTATCCTGGTCCAGCTTGCCAAACGTGCCCCAAACACTTTTTCCATCCGGAATGGGATTTTTCTTTCGCCAACCACCGCAAGCATATTCGTAGAAATCATCACAAGGATTGACGGAATAATCTATACTATTAATTATGGACGCTGCCACCGTTACACAGTGTTCTGTGAGGCAATGTGTGCCATCTGCAACAATTTTTGTAAAGTTAGAACTGATTATATTGACATTGATTGATAGTTTTATCTGTTTACGCTATAAATGAAATTATTAAAAGCATATAAGGAAAAAGCGATTTATAATTTCAATAACAATTTAAATCACTAAAAAAGTATAATACTGTAGAGAGATTAAAAGCAGAGATTGAAAACGGTTGTACTACTACCGGCTTGTTTAAAGTTGACTTTAATTAATTATATTTGCTCCTTTTTATCGCAGATATAATTTACAGATGAGTGTAATACATCGCTAAACTTAATTTATCTTATCCAGATACTGTACTCCAGATACTTTGATAATATATTAATAATTCAAAAATGATAATTTTTTTCACCTTCTCCATAAGAAGTGACATGAAGAATTTCTGCCTCATGCCAGCCGTTTTTGCTACTGATTACGATGGTGAATACTATGATCGTCAGTAGTAAAGCAGCGCAAATTATGAGAAGGCATCTCTCCAAAGTACTTCTCGCCTTCCACATCGTGGTACCCTGAAACAACAAAATCATATTTATTATTAAGATGATGATTGATTGGTGACGAAAGATAATGATTAACTTTGAATCATTAATTTAAAATTACAATTTTTTATAACGATGACTTTTGTAAAGTATACTTTAAAGTATACGATGCGCGTAAGTATATCATTCTCGTATTTAAGTTTCAGTTAGGAAAATTATATAAAGTTTGCAAAGAGTAACAAATAACATTAAAGATATATTCTTCAATTTAATTTCTGATCTCAATGCTTCAGACATTAAGTTGATTTTATAAGTCAAACAAGTAAATGTCCAGCGAATAAACAAAAATAATTCATTATCTATTTAAGATGTAAAGTGCAATATGCAAGTATAAATATAAATAAAATTTTTTTATGAAATTTTTATGTAAAATATTATATGAAATAGATAAATTATATTATTATTTAATTTTGTTGAGCCAAATGTTTTATATATTATAAAAGATACATAATACCATCCACTTATATATAATCAAAAATAATTATATATATATATATATATATATATATATATATATATATATACAGAGTGTCCTAGACCACCCGTATACCCCTTTTCTTTCAAAAACTAAGCATTTTAGAAAAAACGTTTCCGACAAAAATTGTATGGTTTTGAGGGGAACATAAGATGGTGTCATTGGTTTAACCTTGGATGGCATCGTTAAGGTCAGGTCAAGGACACCTTTAATTTCTTAAATGAAATCACCTATTTTTTATTGCATATTCTTATAACTTATGTCGAGAGCTTTCCAAAACACTATAATAAAGTATTTTTTCATTGAGTACTTTTCGAGTTATGAGGCTTGAAATAACTTTTCAATTTTACATAAACCATAAAATATCTAATAAAATATTCATTTTTTTATTATCTTACCTTAATACTCTTATGTACAAAATAATGAAAAGAATCAATTGGTGTAAAGAAAACACACAGTTGTTTTTAAGAAAAAATATGTAATTGTTAATTGCAAATTATATATTTTTTCTTCGGAACAATTATGTTTTTTTTTTACACCAATTGATTCCTCTCATTATTTTGTACATAAAAGTATTAAGGTAAGATAATCGAAAAATAAATATTTTACTAGATATTTTACTAGATATTTGATAGTTTATGTAAAATTAAGATATTATTTTAAGCCTCATAAATCGAAAAGTACTCAATGAAAAAATTACTTTATTATAGTGTTTTGGAAAGCTCTTGACATAAGCTATAAGAATATGCAATAAAAAATAGGTGGTTCCATTTAAGAAATTAAAGATGTCCTTGATCTGACCTTAACGATGCCATCCAAGCGATCCATCAACCTATGTGTTTTCTTTACACCAATTGATTCCTCTCATTATTTTGTACATAAAAGTATTAAGGTAAGATAATCAAAAAATGAATATTTTATGGTTTATGCAAAATTCAGAAATAATTTCAAGCCTCATAATTCGGAAAGTAAATTAATGAAAACTAACTTATTTATAGTGTTTTGGAGAGCTCTCGACGTGAACTACCAGAATATTTAATAAAAAATAGGGAGTTCCATTTAAGAAATTGACGGTGATGTTCACGTGACTTTCAAATGACTCTCCCATGTCAAATCATGCCACTATCTGATGGCCCTCTTCAAGCCATACAACTTTTGTCTGAAACATTTCTTTCTAAAGTGCATATTTATGAATATTCGACTGGTCCGGGACTTTTGGGACACCCTGTATATATATATATATATATATATATATATATATATATATATATATTGTCGTCTTTAAGAAATCAGAAAAAAGAAGTCTTTAAGAAGAAGTCTTACTTATTTCTTAAAGTGGCGCATTAAACTACTTTCTGAAATCATTAAGTCTTCTTTCAGAAGATATATTCGGATGTCTAAATCTTACGTGAAAACTCTTTAAGAGTTCTTTTAGAAGTCATATTGCTGTGTAGGTAATTGATTAATTGGATATTTACCGTATGATATCTTATATGTGTAGCGGATGTACTGATGCCTTCGCTATTTAAAGCGACGGAACCGATACTGCTACTGTCTTCATCCTCGAATTCGGCCTGTTTATATCTCGTCATCTGAGAACCATATAAAAATAAATTTGTGAATTAAAAGTCTAAGCGGACATCTGAGATTCAAAGCAATATTTCAACCGAATGTATGAGCTGCTAGTATTCATATCGCATTAATAAAGAATATGATAATAAAGAATTTGATCTGTATGATTTGCGCGTTTCTGTTTTTTTACTATTGAATAATTACAACAGTGTGCGCGACCGGATTTCGAAAAAATACAATATTTTCCTTGCTATAGCGATTGCGCATTTTACAAACAAGGATAAATCAAGTAGTCTCGCGTATGTTTAAGATAAGGCAATTAGTCGTAAATTATTAGTGTATGCGATGTAAATTCACTTCATGCTCCGAAGATAATTAAATAGCGGCTTATTATTCATAAATAATTTTGAGGTATTTATTATTTTAGATTTATAATTATGATAAATTATAAGAGATTATATCAATTGTAAAAAAGAATTCTGCATTTTATAAAAAAAAATCTTCTAACTAAGTGCAATATAACTCTGAAAAACACAAACTACATTAATATTTATAACTTTATTTTTACGCGATAACGATAGTTAAACGCAACGGATTACGTACAGACATTTACATGTTTACATGTTCATTTTAAACTATTATTTTAGAAATTGTAAATTTTTAATATTAAATTTTCCAAATATTGTAATTGTTTTACTCAATATTTAATATATTTCAATATATTTATTTTAACATAAGTTTTGTGCCAGAATTAATTTTCTCCCAGGAAAAATTACTCTCTTTCTTATCGTTGTTATAATTTTCCATCATTCACGATTGCAATATTTTAAAATATTCGCATATCTTAATCATTCTATTATATTTTTTAATCTTTTTTTTTTTTACTTTCCTTTATATTTTCTTTTTTTCCTACTCTTTTTAATTTATTTTAAACAAAGAATGTCAACCACAATGGAATTAATTTAACTTTAAACAAAGAATGCCAACCACACAATAGAATCCATTGCAAATGATTTTTGTAGAAAATACAATTGTTTCGGAAGAGACGCATTTTGTATTTTGCTGATCTCCTCATCTGCATCACAGACGTTTGTTTTTGTGACACAGTTTGCCATGTGGAAATACAATAGACACAATGATCTTAATTCAAACATTGAAATTCAGTATCAACACTCGTGCATGAAACGATATTCATATAGTGTGACGCTACGATAATGGAGAAACGAAAATGGAACAAAAACATGAATTTGAATCGAAATTCGCTGGAATGATAACAAGCTATTATGCTACCATTTCTAATTAATTCACTTTAATTCCAAATTATTTCACCATAAATATATAAGTAGATGTTGGCGCGTAAATTTTAGCACAAAACTTGGTTTTTCTATTTACCCAATCGTATTTGGATACTTCTTTTTCGAGTATCAAATAAAAGATCAAATTAAAAAAAACTGAGAAGCCAAATTAATTACAATTAAAAATTGCAATTAATTTGGAATTGTGGATATCAGTAACGAACTCAGAAATTTCTCCTCGATAGTGAACTTCAACGTGCGCACTTCGCGAAGATGTTTCCCGTCGTGACTTTTGCCGAAGATGCAAAAGTCGCTCGCGAACTTTGTAGCAACGCTACGATTTTAGACTGTGCTAAAAATATGTCGCTCTCAACTCTACTCAAAACGTTCTAAAGACACATTTAGGCAGTATCGGACAGACCTTGACAGATCGTTTATTATTGAAGAACTCACGTCAAACTTTATATTTGCAATTAACACTTATCAGATGAATATAAATTATTCAATATTTTTTTATGGAGAAAAAAATTAACGGTTGTAGCATAAATTAAACAAACATACACTACGTTTGACATGAATGCGAGCCTTAGTTCTCAACAGTCTAGTATACGCCTATGAGTACAGCCTCCGTTTCAGATTGAGATTCGCTGATAACATTTACGTCATCCTGAGCGAAAACACATGACAGATTTAATACATTATGTGTAATTCGATAGCTAACATCATATTGATTTTTTCTCTTTTACACGCCCTATTCTAGGAATATATACATATATATCGTATATAATATTTACTATTTGAATCGTACACATCGTAGACGAAGACGTTTCGTCACTTCTTCTATAATATACAGAATGCATAAAAAAGAAAAAAGATTACCCGAGATTTAATATTTCATATATTAATATTTCTCTGACTTTTGAAATATATCCACATTGAATTTAAAAAAAAAGAATGTAAGATCAAAGAGTTTCAAATGTGTATGTAATAAGTTCTTATTAATAAGATTCAATACAAAATCATATTTAAAATAAATTTTACAAATTGTTAAATTGTTTTGTGTTTGAAATTCTTCAACACTTTAAAAACGTACACTTAAAAAAATATGTAATTACATCTTTCACAATTTTTAAAATTTTGCATCTTATAAGTAGATGCTGGCGCGTAAATTTTAACAGAAAACTTTGTTTTTCTATTTATCTAATTTCGTATTTAGCCACTTCTTTTTCATCAGCATCAAGTGAAAGTCAAATTATAATAATTTAAAAAAACCTGAGAAGCTAATTATAAACCATTAATTATAATTAAATTTTTAATTATAATTATAATTAAAAATTGCAATTAATTTTGAATTGTGGCATTCCATAAAATTAAAAAATTAATTATGTAATATTTATATAAAGCTGCAAGTGCACAATTTATTTAATATTTATATGAAGCTGCAAGTGCACGATTTATTTAATATTAAAGTTAGTAGACAGACTTCAGTAGAATCTAAATTTAACAAAATTTTGATTTTTGTATTAATTAAATATTTAAATGTTAAAAAATCATAAAAAGATTAGCTCATGAGTGTCTAATAAGAAAAAAGAATCGATTCTATTATACCACTCCACAAATAAAAATTAACGTTAATTATTCTTATCGTATCTTTCACATACGGTATATTAAATAAAATCAAAAAAAAAATAAAATAAAAGCTTACTTTGCGAATAAACGCATGTAAAGTTATAACCAGCGGATTTTCCATTATATAATTAATTTTCTAAGTTAATAAATGTCTAAAAAATATAATATTGAGCCATCATTTTCGAAACTTTCGAGACTTCTTTAAAATGGACGAACAGTATATCTACTTTTAATCATGCATTCACTCGGTTGTTTTTGCAAATTTGCAGGAAAATGCTAAACACACGAACCGTACAGAAAAAAAAATCGATTCTATTATATCACTCCACAAATAAAAATTAACGTTAATCATTCTTATTGTATCTTTCACATACGGTACATTAAATAAAATCAAAAACACTCAAATAAAAGCTTACTTTGCGAATTAACACATGTAAAGTTATAACTAGCGGATTTTTCATTATATAATTAATTTTCTAAATTAATAAATGTCTAAAAAGTATAATATTGAGCCATGATTTTCGAAACTTTCGAGACTTCTTAAAAATCGACGAACAGTATACTTAATTTCACCAACACTTTTAATCATGTATTCACTCGGTTGTTTTTGCGAATTTGCAGGAAAATGCTAAACACACGAACCGTACAGAAAAAAAAATCAATTCTATTATATCACTCCACAAATAAAAATTAACATTAATCATTCTTATCGTATCTTTCACATACGGTACATTAATAAAATCAAAAACACTAAAATAAAAGCTTACTTTGCAAATTAACACATGTAAAGTTATAACTAGCGGATTTTTCATTATATAATTAATTTTCTAAATTAATAAATGTCTAAAAAGTATAATATTAAGCCATCATTTTCGAAACTTTCGAGACTTCTTTAAAATCGACAAACAGTATACCTACTTTCGCCAACACTTTTAATCATGCATTCACTCGGTTGTTTTTGCGAATTTGCAGGAAAATGGTAAACACACGAACAGACGTACAGACGCCGTGGCGACACGCAAACTGCAATTGACTTGCACGCGCTGCACCGGCGCGCGTGCGTGCGCGACACCCCGAAAAGCGCGCGCCCCGAATACGCACGCGCCGCGCGCACGCGTGTCTAACAATAAGTGCGCGGCCTTCGCCATATCTTCGCCTTCGGTGAAGGCTCGCTTTAGCAGGAAGCGGACACTTGTGACGCTGTTATTGCCATTAAAAAATTTCGCGGCTTGACGCGACAGTCGACAGATCATTATACCGTAACAAGATCAACAATTCGCAGCCGGCACAGATACAATGTAGAATATTATGCGGGAGTAAAGGCGGATTGTGCCTCGTGTCGCATATGTGCATGTGAAACAAAGAGAACGAAATATCAACGTTCTGATAAATTAACACGTAAAAAGAAAAAAAAATTGATGACTATAGAATACATAAATCATGAAGCATGAGCGGAGGTGAAATTTAGACAATTTTTTTTTCTTAAGAAATTTTTCTCCTTTTTTTTAGGACACATAACATTATATCGATTTTCAATCATTTCTGATTTTATACCAATCTTATTTCGAAATTTTTCTGACGAGATGGAATTTTGTTGGGGAAATTTAAATCACTACGATACAACATACACGTGAATGGTTGATATATTGTAATCGTACGTAAATAGTACGTTCTATAATTTACATACGCACATATACATATATGTGTGTGTATGTATGTGTAACAAGCCATGACCTACGGTCATTAATTAGTCTTATCAGAGGTAAAGCGTAATGAAGTGTCGTACAAAGATGATACGGGCTTCGTAAACGTCACATTATCTCCTACGATATCACGATGTGTCAAAACATATTATTCGAAATCATAAATGTTACATAACAAGACAGCTTTCCGAGCAGAACGTACATACAGGGACGTTTTCACACTCGATTTCGGCTCAACTCAGAAGCATTTCGTCAGCCGAAATCAGGAAAGCGGAATGCTTATTGCACGCGCTCGCATTGCATTTGCGGATGCATGTCCGAAGGACTCACCTTCACCGACATCTTGACCCGGCACACGATCGCGCAACCACTGCACTGTCACCTTAATTATTGATTCACCATTGAGGGTGGAATACATACACATGCACACACGCGGGTCGGGGAGCAACGGATTGAGGGTCGACGGACAGGACAGATGACAGGAGGGTTGATGGAAGCGATCGAGACGGAGCGAAGGTTTTTTTTTTTTACACTCTTGGATTATTTCCGTCTGACACCGCGACTATGACATTTTTTCTTCTTTTCCGCCAGCGTAGCCGCTAAAATATGTTGCAGTCGGCTCTTTCGCGGCGGCCGCTTCTTTCTCTCTCTCATGGAGGATGCTTCGCCGCCCTTGCTACACCCGCTTCTCTCGCCTCCCTCACGAATCCCGTTTATATTGATTTCTCGCTCGTCCAGTTGCATCTGCCATCTTTTATCGTCGCTTCGCGATAAATACTGCCTTATCATTGTGATACTGATATTATTCTGTCGTATCATTAATCAGGAATTCAACGGCGCATTTAAATATTTCACAAAAAATGAATTCATACAAATAATTGCACTAAATCGAATGGACGTATATCCACACTTTTTGAAAAAATGAGATAAAGTAGTAAAAAAATTACTAGATATTTATTTTTATGAAAGCAAAATTCTCCCTAATTTTCGAATATTTTAATTTTTTTAATATATTTGCTGCTTCTACTTTTTTTGATATATTACATTAGTTATTATCAATCGATATGTTATCTTTGCTTATTAGTAAATCCATATCGAATGTTAAATAAAAAGAAATTTACTTCAGATATCTGTATTAATTTTGAATAAGTAATTAATGCATATTTTTAGAATTCTCATTTATCTACTCTTACATTTTTCTTGAAAAAATTAAAATAAATTAAAATGAAATTACATAAAAATAAATTAAAGAGAGGAATTTTTAAATTACTCTTTTATTTCGATAAAATTGAAAACTTATACTTCTATCATATTAAATTTTAATGATAGATTTTTCAATAAATTTGAAATAAATTAATTTTTCTAACGTGCAGTTTTTGTATAATTATTTTTTAATAAAAGAAATTTACTTCAGATATCTGTATTAATTTTGAATAAGTAATTAATGCATATTTTTATAATTCTCATTTATCTACTCATACATTTTTTCTTGAAAAAATTAAAATAAATTAATATGAAATTACTTAAAAATAAATTAAAGAGAGGAATTTTTTACAATTTTTAAATTATTCTTTCATTTCGAGAAAATTGAAAACTTATATTCCTATCATATTAAATTTTAATGATAAATTTTTCAATAAATTTGAAATAAATTAATTTTTCTAACGTGCAGTTTTTGTACAATTATTTTTTCTATATTTCCTTGCTTCATATTTATATGTGCTTGAAAAAGACAAGATATTATTATAAAATTCCATTGTTTTAAGATTATATATAAATAAATTAAAAATATACGTATTATCGTAAATGTATATGTGAATAAATATTTCGTGTCTTTATTTCGGACAGACATTTTTTCACATTAGTATGGTATCTTACATATAGTGTTATTGATTCCGCGCGAATACATGATTGCACATTACGGTAAGATCATTCAAACTAGAGCTTATTAAAGGTATACGATATAATGCGCAAGCTACGCACGCACACAAAATATAATGGCTTCTGACTAGAAATTCTTATAGACTAATCTATCATGTGTACATATATGCATACACATATTATATATATGTATACATATGTATGTATACGTATCCAGATAGCCAAAACTATCTACGAGATTGCTGTCATGTCGCCAACAATTATTATTATATGTATTATTGTTGCCAACATAACATAATAATATGATTAATCATATTAATCAACAGGATAGCAATAAGACTAATCAATATGATTAATCATATTTGAATATGTGAATATACGATATATACAATAGTATAAGCTTACGATATAATCACGCGGACTCCTTAAACAACCTCCATTTATTAGGATCGGTTCCAAAAAATATTGTATGTATATATTATTCTGTTTTAAAGTAACATGCTCCTTGGCTACGAGACTACGTCTCGCTTATCCAATACTCTTATTTAATGGACTTATCGCTATTGGCACATACGCGTTTCTTGGACCGCTATTATAATTCAAGAATCTAAATTGAATGATTAGCGCATTTGATATAGTTTTCTGCGATCTTAGAAAATGCTTGTAAAATGATTGTATTATATTTGTCATATCGAAAAATAATCGAAGAAGTGTATCGTGTATAAACCGATGGCTTAATCCAATTTATCTAACTGATATAATTCAATCATTACAATTAATACTGCCACGATTGGTAAAAAAAAATATTACAAATCAAATGTCGTTCATGTGTGTCACAGCACGAGAACAGTCTTTCTTTTCGCACGATATATACGCAGAAAAATTGAAGAGCAAAAATTTTGAATACTTGTTATACAAAATTAATTATTAATTAATTATGAATTATTAATTAATTAATTTAAGGATGTATTGGACGGACCGTCTGTCTCAAAAGTTAATCCAAAGTATCAAAAAATTAAAGTTGAGTAGAATACGAATTCTAATTGATCAAAAATTTTTTAAAAATCACGAAATCATTCTTCAAAGTATTCTTTAATATAAATAGATCTTAATTTCCAAGAAAATGTTACCACGTTTTATCATCAATATTGCGTCAAACCGATAATCACAGTTATTTTTTAATAATAATTTCAAAACGAGCAAGTAAATCGTTTTAAAACTTTGTGGGAACATTTTTACATGTATGAAGAATATAATATTACAAAATGAAATTTTTATCATTGTTTTGTTATAGTTTGTGAATAATTTATCACCTGTCTCTTGAACGTTTACATAAGATCCTATGTTAAAATCGCAAAATTCAAAAATTAATAACTTTTAAAGGAGCAAGTAAAAAAATGTGAAATAATTCATGACGATTTAGAGTGTTATTAAGAATGTTAAATTAAAAATTCACGGCGATCTCATTGATTGTAATATATCTCCAATACATCCTTAAGTCAAATCAAATAATAAATCGTATATGTTTTCTCACATTCGTGTTTTCCTAATATTCAATTCTAAACGATTTTCGTTTTCAGTTTTTATATCATGTCGCATTTTTATTACAGCAGTATATTCTTGTTTTAAGTGTGAACACTACATAATTGTTTCGGATAACTATATATATTTTATCCCTTAAAGATATGTGTAATATGTAATAATTAATCTTATCCACTTTTTAATATTGAGATAATATTAATGTGTGTGCACATATATGTGATAGAAGCTTAAATATATACAGAGGACTTGATCGGCTTGAAATACAACTCGAAAAATGAGATTATTTCGCATTGTCAAGTTTGATATGAATATTATCGTTAGAAAATATGTCGATATTTATATTATAATATTTAAAAAATAAATCTTATGTTATTTCTTTTCGTTTTAAAGATCTTAGTTGCTTTTGTAAAGATCTTGTTCATAAATGCCTTTCCATCCGAGGATTAAAAAAATGTGCGACAATTGTTTGCTTACATATTGTTACGATATAGAGAAATAAAACAATTAATTGTTATTCTTTTTTGTGCGTAAGTGGATTAAATTGGGCCGCTAACTGTGGAAATACAACTCTTCTTCTTAAAACACTGCTTTAATTGTTCCGAAATCTTAAATTACATTAAGTATATTGCAGGAATAAAAATTAGATCAGTGTCTAATAAAACGTTGAAAAAGATTTTCTCATGGCAGTATGTATCGCAGATATCGGAAATAACGCTTTGTCGGCGTATATAAGAATACACCTATTGTACGTAAGTAATGTATGTATGTAAGAAATTATCTATCACATTTAGATTTAATATTTAATATTAATAGGTAATCAAAAAATAGCTTTCAGCTTTGGAGTTGTGATATTATTTGCAAAAAATATTGCAAAAGTGCAATTTAAGTCTAACGTCTAATATTATATTCATTAATTCTGCGAGAGAATAATGAATGATATGTACATCTCACGAGAATGATACGTACATCTTCAATCATCAGATTCGACGATTAAAGATTCAATAAAGTAACGCGAAATAATAATACGATGTCGATAAATATAATATTTTTGCATTAAATATACAGGGTGTCCCAAAAGTCCCGGACCGGTCGAATATTTCATAAACTATACACTTTAGAGAGAAATGTTTCAGACAAAAGTTGTATGGCTTGAAGGGGGCCATCAGATAGTGACAATGATTTGATGGAAGATCATTTCATGGGAGAGTCATTTGAAAGTCACGTGAAGATCACCGTCAATTTCTTAAATGGAACTCTCTATTTTTTATTAAATATTCTGGTAGCTCACGTCGAGAGCTTTCCAAAACACTATAATTAAGTTAGTTTTCGTTAAGTACTTTCCGAATTATGAGGCTTGAAATCATTTCTTAATTTTACATAAACCGTAAAATATCTTGTAAAATATTCATTTTTCGATTATCTTACCTTAACACTTTTATGTACAAAATAATGAGAGGAATCAATTGGTGTTAAGAAAAAACATAATTTTTAAGAAAAAAATATGTAATTTGCCATTAACAATTACATATTTTTTGTTAAAACAACTATGTGTTTTCTTTACACCAATTGATTCCTCTCATTATTTTGTACATAAAAGTATTAAGATAATCGAAAAATGAATATTTTACTAGATATATGGTTTATTTAAAATTAAGAAATTATTTCAAGCCTCATAACTCGAAAAGTACTCAATGAAGAAATACTTTATTATAGTGTTTTGGAATTCTCTCCAGATAAGCTATATGAATATGTAATAAAAAATAGGGGGTTCCATTTAAAAAATTGAAGGTGACCTTTACGTCACCTTCAAATGACTCTCCAAGGTCAAATCATTGCCACTGTCTGATGGCCCCCTTCAAGCCATACAACTTTTGTCTGAAATATTTCTTTCTAAAGTGCATAGTTTATGAAATATTCGATCGGTCTGGGACTTTTGGGACACCCTGTATACATGTTTTAAAGGAAATAATATATCGCACTATTTTTTAATAAAATAGAATCCTCGCTTGTTATTATGACACGATTACCATGATATTCGGAAACAAGTGAGGATTATTCTAATGTGATTCTTGATAACGAACGATTACGTTTGTATTGCTATACAAGTTACGCGCAGAGACATACAAGAATATAAGCATTGCATAATACAATGATAAAGATTTCAATTTATATTCAGTCTAACGACTTCGATCTATTTAATTTGTGTTTACTTTCAAGATCAAAGTTTGTACTCCGATTCATTGTACGAAGACCACGCGCCTCTTCGACATTTTCACTCGGAGGCAATTGCGCATTTTCAAAAATAAAGGATTCTAATATCACATTATTGGATGGATTTGATTGAGACGAGCATGCAACAATCTCTACTGCTTGTTCCGGAAAATTCGCATTACAAAGTGCATTTTCGGAAGCTGCCATTCGATTGGAATTAAAGGTGCACTGTTGAGAGCTCGACGAATCTCTGAGGGAAATCCTTCGAAAACTGTTACCTTGATAAGTGACATTTCCAGTGTGGTTACGCGTTAATCGTAGGGAACCGCCGTAATTCCTACGTTGTTTCGGTAAGTTTCTTTGCGCCGCAGCGATCACGGGACATATATGGAACTTTAATTCGTTCTCGCTTCCGCTCTCCTCTGATTTAGGCGAGGAAATACGTGTTTCTGTAATTGCCGCGCATCTTTGTTGAGATGTACGGTTTTCATTCTGCACAGTAATCTTATTATGGACTTTCAATGCAGATTGATCATTTCTGTGCCATGGACTTTGTTCTCTATAGCTGCTAGTTGCAGTATCAATGTTGAGCATTGCGCATCCCTCTGCGTTCTGAATTTCATAAGCATGAATTCCATTTTCCGCATTCGAGACATCGGCCAATCTGTCCGTTGAATATCCCGGCAATTGTTGTGAATTATTTTGATAACTATGATTAAAATTGCTTCCTCCAAAAGCGAGCGATTCCTTTGGATATTCCAAAGGAACGCACACGTTTTGACTAATAGCGCCATTCGCTACGCAATATTGCGAAAAATGGGCGAACGGGATACCCTCGTGATTGTCGAGCTGGCGAGAAGTCGCGTTATCACTTTGACTCGAGTTACCATCCACCAATCTAGCTGGAGAATTGCAAGTGTAGAAGAAACACTGCGACACACTCGGATTTGATATCACATTTGCTGTTTGTAGATTCAGTCGCGCAGAGGATTCCGGCGATGCTGGATTGGAAATTTTGCCGCGTGTCTGTGCGATCACTGTCTCATAACTAGGCGGTGGACCGTATAACTGATAGTAAGGGCAACTAGTATTGTTCAACACCACATTCATATTTTGATAGTTTGAAGTAGTTGCATTACTATTATACGTTGACGCTGCTGTATTTCTTTGAGGACCTATTATGAAAATTTACATAAATATTTGTGCATTTTCATTTTTATGTGCTTTACTCATAAAATAAAAGAATGCATACCTTTCCACATACGATGCAATAGGACGGTATTTCTCGCTGAATTATAGGTAATACGAGCTTGTTGCGCATGACAAGATGCATTACGAAGAGAATTTTGAGATCTAGTATAGGAAGATCGAGTTGGAATAGCTGAAGCTGCTGCTCGATATCTGCCTTGTAACCAGTATCGATACCACCAGCCACCACCAGAACACACAAGGAACATGATTATAACCAGAATCCTAAAACATTTTTATTTTTTATATTATACATGTAAATTTTATAAAATATTGTTATAATTATTGTTTGGAAAAGGATTATTGTTAAAGATTCTGCTTACCAATAGTACCATAAGTGATGGAAATGGAGACCGGGTGATACACAACAACCAAAAGTGCAACAATATTCTGTTCTTGAACATCTGTAAGATGTGTTACATTTGATATAAAAATAATTTTTAATATATATATATATATATATATATATATATATATATAAATTGTAAAACTAATATATAGATTAAATAAAGTCAAAATTGTCATTCTTACTCATAGTATTTTAATTCTCCAGGTATATCAGAGGAACAGTACTTTGCTTCTGCCTAAAAAAATTATATTATTCTTAACAAAACTTTATAAATAGAAAAGAATCAATATTTTCCATTTAATAATTTGTTGAATGTTGTATATATTGATGTAATTTAATATCATAAATGCAATTTAAAATCATAAAATAATATAATAATATAACAAACCTTGAAAGTTTATGATAACTTTATTGTTTAATCTTATGGAAAATAATAAAATTTAATTAAGTAAAGAGCAGTCTCTAAATAAATTATTTAAATATACAAATCGCATATACATGTATAAAAGTAAATTAATAATTTTTATAAATAATGTATAAATTTTTTAAAAATTTTGTAAAAAAATATCTAAAAAAAAGAGCATTATCTGTTTCGTTCAGATCAAGAACACTTACGTAAATTAGACACTTTGATGTACCCGCGAATATCGCAAGTTTCTTCTTGCTGTTGCGAGCCATTTTCTAATATCCTTCGTCAATTCCACGATCAAGCGCAATGAGATCTAACACGATGTTTTGACATAATCGCCATTCCCCATCGTCCGTGATGCATGTATATGCATGTATACACAACATTGCACATCGCTTATTGATTTCAATTTCGGAACGCAACAATGACGTCAGTTCGCTGTCAGTGCTACCACCATGACAAAAATGAGCGACAACTAAAGCCAAGCATCGAAACCATGTTTTCTCGCGCACTTCGTGTAATCTTAGTCAAATATATCCATTATCTTGAGCACGCGAGTCAAGATCTATCTACTATTAGAGGATCACTTTATTAAAACTGTCCGTTCAGCCATGATCAATAAAAGTGATTGGAAGGATGGTAGCAGTGTTTGCTGGTATCTAGATAAAATTATCTAGATAATTATTTAGATAATTATCTAGATAAAGAAATGAATCATCTTTATCTTGATCTCTACTAGATCTACTAGATGAAGAAATACAAAGTATCTTTATCTTAGATAAAAAATGTCATCTTATCTAAAAATTATCTAAGATGACGTTTTCATTATGCAAAAGAGTTTTCCAGGCAAGCTTCTAAAAATCTATCTAAAATATCTAAAATATATTTTTTATTTGGAAAATAATATTACAAATATATTTTATCTTGTACTTGTTTTACTTAAATTTGTGCAATGCATTAATGTATATTTTATAAAAATGATATATGTATTGTTACACATTGATTATTATATTATTAATATATTATAAATATAAATTAATAAATAAATATTTATCATATCATTTATATATATCTTTTTGTTATTATTTAAATATTCTTTAGGAAAAAAGGAAGAATATGTGAATATTTATGATTTTAATATCCCATTTACAATCTGCGTCACATTTTTTACAAATATTTATAGATATAAAATAAACAAAATAAAATAAACAAAAATATCTAGATAATTATCTAGATTATCGCAATAATCATCTCATCTTTCATCTAGATTAAGTAAAAGCAAAATCATCTTTATCTCATCTAAGATAAATTTACGGATTTTTATCTTTATCTTTATCTAGATAATTTTGAAATTATCTACAGCAAACACTGGATGGTAGCAATGTGACACATGGATTTTTTGCGCATGCGCGACCAACGTGCTAAAGCTTTGTACACAGCAGAGGAAAGAGGTGTCAGACGTCACGTCTGTCGAATGCGACGCGATAGCCAATCGATTTGCAACTATTCTGATAAAGCGAAAGGTTGATTGGTTATCGTTGCACGTTCTGTGAGCAAAGGCCATATGGTGAGCGAACACGAAATTAGGGAAAGAGCCGAAAATTAATAAGCTCGATTTATAATTATATATATCATGAAAGAATAAATTTATTCGATAAAATTCAATTGGCAATTCCGAAGAAAATATCATGAATAAATAAAATATATTTATATAAAATAACTTACAATAAATGGATATATCAAGTATGATTTTAAGGATGGGTAATTTAATTTTTAAAAAGAGAAATTGCTCAAAAGTTTAATTGTTTTTGAAAAAATTAGATATTGTGGTAAAAAGTATTTGCTTTATTTATTCTTCAAAAATCTGACCCAATAAATAATTAAATTGGTTATAAATGAATATAATACATATAATACATACATATAAATAATATATGTATAATAAAAAAATTTTTAAATATATGCATGTATATATATATATATATATATATATATATATATACATATATATAAATATGTAGATATATATTTACATATATATAAATATGTAGATATATATATAAATATGTAGATATATATTTTTTATTTTTCCTTTTTATTCTTAATGTATTATAATTATACAATATTTTATATCTATTAATCTATATTTCTCAGATACTTTTATATGTGTGTTGTTCCATTCCAAGCAAATATTAGATGTAGCACACAAAGGCATCATATTATTATATAATACATAATCTTTACCATACTTGAATTTTACTTTATTTTAATTTTAAAGATTATCACTTTTATTTTTAATAATTATAATTGCAAAATAATTATAAAATATATTTATAAAATAATTATAATTGCAAATTAACAAAATTATCCAAATATGGATATTAATTAGTGGAATAATATAAATTTTCATCAGCCACTTTGTAATTAATTTCTTAAAATTTTTATTTGATTCTTTTTTATATCATAATCTCATGGTAAAATTGATATATTCTCTCAATTAATTTTTATTTTGTAATTCTTCTGTCTCAAGTTTCAACCTTTTTAGATTGGCAGAATTTAGTTATATTCTCTCACTTATACACAAAGAGACAGAAAGTATAGTACTTTAAATATTTCTCTTTGCTAGTTTTCAGATAAATATTAAAATTTATAGATAGCTTAAAAGATTTGCACAGCATATAAAGTCTTTAATTTGCAAAAGTGAAAGAAATTATATTAATTCTAAATGAGATTTACAGCTTATAAAGTATATACAAGTTTACATATAGTGTACTAAGTTCAAAATTTCATAATTGCATACTGCTTATTGAAGCATGTATCTCACAATATTTTCTCTTTGTTTTTATATATTCATTTATCAGTACACACACGCACACACACACACACACGCGCACACACACACACACACACACACACACACACACACACACACATGTATATATTCTGTGATTGTGGTTTACCTACCAAATGGATTCAGATTTCTATTGTAATCGTCATCATCATTACCAACTGCGTCATTATCATCGTCATCTTTAAAGGGATTATTTGCATCGTCATCATCATCATTGGCAAAAGGATTTTTAGACTCATCATAATCATCAGTCTCGAAAGGATTTAATGGCACAATAGGATTTTTTGGTGGAACGAAAGACTTCTCGATCGGTGATGATTTTGGTGTGGTACTATTCAAAATACGAGCTTCTCTGATCGGCACTGGCGAAGCTTTCGTGGAATTGCTACGCGGTGTCGATAAACCGCTTCCTGTTCCTGATATATTCGCCTCTAATGACGAGGAATACACGTCTGGCTTTGCAAAGCTCCGATAACGCTCTTCTGTTATTAATGTGGGAACATCGTATCCGGCTCGTCGAGATTCCGTTTTTCCTACTGGAAAAAATATAACACGATTAATGATTATAATTTACTTAGAAAAATATTAAATCATACCTGAAATAGAACTCTTTCCTTCGCTTAATCTAAGTCTCGCTTCCGCTCCCGGGCCATAATTCAATTTAGGTTCCTCCAACTTAGTTGGCGTAGGTAACGATTTATCTGTATCGGTAATTACTGTTAATTTCTTAAAAACGCCTCTACCAAAATAATCGGCCACTAAAGAAAATGGATCTTCCGCTCGATCGAGGAGACTGTGGAATGTTTCGTGTAAATCTCTCGATTGCTCTTGCGCTCTTATAATATCCAACAATTTCTTGTTATTTGGCAAGCATGCTGGACATTCGTTTTCATTTTCCGAAAAGCTTTGAAAGCAGCTATTATAAAAAAAAGAAGATAAATCGAAAGAATTACATGGTAATAAGATTATATACAGTGCCTACCAAAAGTTTCGGGACGGTCGAATATTTCATAAACTACTGCACTTTAGAAAAAAATATTTCAAACAAAAGTTGTATGGCTTGAAAGGGGTCATAAGATGATGTCATTGGTTTGATCTTGTAAAGTCGTTTGAAGATCACGTGAAGGTTATTATTATTAATTGCAAATTACATATTTTTTCTTAAAATAACTATTTTTTTCTTTACATCAATTGAATTCTCTCATTATTTTGCACATAAAAGTATTAAGATAATCGAAAAATAAATATTTTATTAGATATTTTATGTAAAATTAAGAAATGATTTCAAGCCTCATAACTCGAAAAGTACTTTATGGAAAAATAATTTATTATAGTGTTTTGGAAAGATCTCGAGATAAGCTACGAATATGCAATAAAAAATAGGTAGTTCCATTTAAAAAATTGAAGGTGACCTTCACGTGACCTTCAAAAAATTTTTCAAGGTCAAATCAATGACCATCTTATGGCTTCCTTCAAGCCATACAACTTTTGTCTGAAACATTTCTTTTTAAAGTGCATAGTTTATGAAATATTCGATCGTCCCGGAACTTTTGGTAGGCACTGTATATACGATTATATATAAACGATAAAAATAATTAAGAAAGCTAACTGTTGATGATAAGAATGTTGACACATGAAATGCACAGATGGTAACTCTAACTGATGATGGCACGCGCTACATCGCGATCCTTGAAATATTATCGTGCTATTCTTTATTGCCTCTATTTGTTCTCGTAATTTAAGAGTATCGGCTCTGTATTTCTGTGTTAATTCCGTATCAGCTTGAGTCTGTTCGTTTTCCGTTCGTAATACACTGCATAAATAATTTCGAACATCTCCCAATGTGCAAGTTAATGATGTGGAAATTGCATCAATAACCATCAAAGGAGACAACAGTCTTTCTTGAGCTACAAACAATAATTACAACACTAGTTTCAATGCATATATGATTGTGAATATAATTAATACAGGGTGTTTCAGACCACCCGTACCACCTATTTAAAAACTAGAGAAGTGGTTACTTCAAAAAAGTAAAAATATTTTCTTTATCAATCGGCTGCGCTTTATCGAATGGTGATATTTTCAACTTCTGGTTCCGGAAATAGGCGATTCAGACCGGAAATGAATTTTTTTTAATGAAACCCCTTATTTTTCATTGCATATTCTTGTAGCTTACCTCGAGCTTTCCAAAACACTATAATAAATTATTTTTCCATGAAGTACCTTTCGAGTTATGAGGCTTGAAATCATTTCTTAATTTTACATAAACCATAAATATCTTGTAAAATATTCATTTTTCGATTATCTTAATACTTTTATGTACAAAATAATGAGAGGAATCAATTGGTGTAAAGAAAACAAAAGGTTGTTTTTAGGAAAAAATATGGAATTGTTAATTGCAAATTTCATATTTTTTCTTAGAAACATCTATGTGTTTTCTTTATACCAACTGATTCCTCTCATTATTTTGTACATAAAAATATTAAGGTAAGATAATCGAAAAATGAATATTTTACAAGATATTTTATGGTTTATGTAAAATTAAGAAATGATTTCAAGTCTCATAACTCGAAAGGTACTTCATGGAAAAATAATT